CCATCTGTTCTTTGTACCACCAGTTTAAAGCAGTGTCCGCGTGTAGGCATGTTTAGAATGTTTGATTAATGACCTAAAGAGTAAAGTTGTGTAATATATTGATATACACTCGCACGTGGAAGTTATCCAATTTCCTGAAAACAGCGTTGACTTAAGAAGACGCAGAGGCGGTCCACGAACATTCCATTTATCTGCACAGTTGTATACTGCGTGTTCAACGTATATCGCTATTGAAACATTTTATTAGGCTACCCAATTTCGTTTCGTGGTTTTCGGGAGATCCGCTCTCAGGCTTACTTCTTTTATACATAGGCGCATTTTTATGTAAGTCTAATGTACTCAGTTACCCCTGAGATTATATTTTGTTCTCAGTTGGTTATCGTTTTGCTGTAAATTACTCATAATGCTACATATGGGTAGATGTGCTTTGGACTGATGATGGTTTGCAGAACTCGGTCGCCTTACCGTTTTCGAAGCGTTTATTACATACAATCAAAAATAAATGCATCTGACTTGCCACGGATCTCCCAAGTTCGTCAATTAGAGTACGCGTTGGTGCTTTTTTGGGATGAATTATTCCATAGGGTATAACAATTTACACGTTAACAAGTAAACAGACTCCTTCCTTGGTCTACGACGACGTTGAGAAAGTTGAATCGTGCTCTGATACTGATATAATAGGGCCTTAATTTTGAATGCTCAGAAAAAATAACTCGCTTTCTGAACAAACAGAAACTTATCCTGAGTGTTAAAACTACAATGCAAGAGTAGGTGGTCATATTTTTAGCATTAAGCATTTTAGCATTCCTTGCCTGTTAGGTGCAAGTAGTAGGTAGAATTGCTCCCAGAAATGGGATGGGAATGGGATGCATCTCATCGTAAAGTTACACTTTTTGCTATCCCCAAGTTCGATCTCCGCGCAAGCTTTTGCAGGTTCGTTCCGAAAAGCATTTGCTAAGATTCCTCAAATTTGGTTTAACAACCGCTTACTGCTCACAAACTGTCGAATTGTAGTCACTAATGATTTGTTTACCATATTACATAATACATACTCGTGTATGATGCACCTGCCAGGGGTTTGGCTTTCTGGTTTATATTCTAGTTTCTAGCCTAAACCTTTCTTACTTTTCTCAACAATTAATGCACTAATTTGGAGTAAACACTTCGGTGCAGAATTTCGTGGGAATTAAATGCATCAACAGTCAGTGAAAGTATAAAGCATCTACTCTTATAGCGCCATACAAAGTTCATGGAAATTAGCACGTGTAGATGTCAGGAGGGATAAGGTGGCACTGAATGTTCCAGTGTCTCACTCAAAGTGTCAGGAAAATGTCATTCAATGTCAAACTGTTTCAAATGTTTTTTTGATTTCTTTGTATTCACTATTAGTTCTATTTTATCGTGTAATCAAGAAAATTTTAAAGTAGAGTGGCATTTATAAAACATTCAGCGTCTTTAATATAACTGGTGGCCTTTAAATACATTTGGCGATTAATACCTCTTTTAAGTGGGCTTTGTTCGTTTTTTTAGCAGCTTATCTCGGTAGAAATGGGTTAACCTTTAAGTTTGGTTAATAAAATTTTCTCAATACAATACCTTAAGTGACTCACTGTTAACTGCCTTGATTAGCCTCTGCGTCTAGTTAGTACCCGAAGAAATTTCGAAATATCGTGATTTTAGAATATTGGCTTTCTTCTGAGGATTGTTTTGACTCTATCATCGGGCCATGATCTCTAAAAGTACTATGCTAAAAATATAAATTTAGCACACTCATCTTCAGTAAAACTAACCATTTGTTTAAACCACCGCCGAAGGCCTCCTCAGTTTGGTCGCTTTAAAGCAGATTGTTACAGCATAGAAGATATTCAATGTTAGAGACTTTCTAGACCATTGAGCGGACATATCTTAGCTCTGGACAGTCCGGTTTTCGAGTCTATGTGGGGAACGCACCAAGCACACAGGCAATTTTCAGTAATGGATGAGTTTTGGGATGCCTG